ACTGTATTTATGTTTCATCATTCTTGTGGGTATGTAGCTGTTTATATATTGGTCTCATATTAAGTACATTAGATTTTTTTTCCATTCTTGAGATACTTTACTAAGAAAAATGTGTTTCAGCTCCATCCAGGTAAATATAAAATATATAAAGTCTTCATCTTTTCTTATGACTCAATAGTATCCCATGGTATACATATGACACAGTTTGACAGTATTATCCATTCATGGGTTGATACGCATTTGGGTTGCTTCCACGACTCAGCAATTATGAATTGAGCTGCAATAAACATTCTGGTGCAAATGTCCTTGTGGTAAGATGATTTTTGTACTTCTCGGTACATACCTAGTAATACAATTGCCAGATCAAATGGAAGGTTGACTTTTAGTTCTTTAAGAATTCTCCATACTTCATAAAGATTGTATTAGTTTGCAATCCCACCAGTAATGTAGAAGTGTTCCCTTCTCTCCATATCCACACCAACATCTGCAGCTTCAGGACTTTGTGATGTGAGCTAATTTTACTAGAGTTAAGATGATATCTCAGAGTCATTTTGATTTGCATTTCTCTGATGATTATAGACGATGAGCATTTTTTCATATGTTTGTTGACCATTCATCTATCATCTTCAGAGAAGTTTCTGTTCAAGTCTCTTGCCCTCGTATAAATGGTGTTTTCCCTTTTCTTAATGATTAAGTTCTCTGTAGATTCTAGTTATCAGCCCTTTGTCAGCTTCCTAACATACAAAAATCTTCTCCCATTCTGAGGGCTGTTTGCTTTGGTTGTGGTACCCTCAGCTGTGCAGAAACTTTTTAGCTTGATCAAATCTCATTTATTTAATTTTGGTGTTGCTGCAATTACTAGGGGGCATCTTCCTTCCAGGCCGATATTTTCAAGTGTTTTCTCCACACTTTCTTAAACAGAATTTTTATTGTTTCATGTCCCAAATTTAAATCTTTTATCCAGTGAGAATCAATTCCTGTCAATCCTGAGAGGTGTAGATCCAGTTTCAGATTTCTACATGTGGTTAACCAGTTCTCCCAGTACCATTTATTAAAAGGGGTTCTTTTCTCCAGTGCTTGTTTTTATTAGGCTTATCAAAGATCAAATGGTGATAGATGGTTGGGTTTATCTCTAGATTCTCTATTCTATTCCACAGATCTATGTCTCTATTTTTGTGCCAGTATCATGCTGTTTTGATCACTATAGACTTGTAGTATAACCTGAAGTCTGGTAATGAGACGCCTCTAGATTTGTTTTTATTTCTAAGAATTGTATTTGCTATTTGGGTTCTTTTCTAGTTCCATGAGAAACAAAGTACTATTTTTTCAAGTTCTTCAAAGTACAACATTGGTGCTTTGATGGAATTACATTAAATCTGCAGATTGCTTTGGGTAGTACTGACATTTTAACAATGTTATTCTTCCCTGCCACTAGCATGGTATGTTCTTCCATTTGTTAACATCTTCTGCTACTTCTTTTCTCACAGTTTCATAATTCTTTTTATAGAGACCTTTCAACTACAATGCTCTTAGAAGTGATCAAGGAATACAGCAGTGTCTTAGGATACAAAATCAATGCTCACCAATCAGTAGCCTTTATATATGCCAATAACATCCAAGCCAAGAATAAAATCAAAGACTGTATACCTTTCTTTTTTTTTTGAGACAGAGTCTCACTGGGAGAGTGCCATAGGTAGAGTGCAATGGAGTCATCATAGCTCATAGCACCCTCAAACTCTTGGGCTCAAGCAATCCTCTTGCCTCACTTTCCCAAATAGCTAGGACTACAGGCACCCAGCACAAAGCCCAGCTATTTTATATTATTATTATTTTTAGTAGAGTCAGGGTCTTGTTCTTTTGCTCAGGCTGGTCTCCTGACCTCAAGCAATTTGCCCATCTCAGCCTCCCAGAGTGCTAGGATTACAAGCGTGAGCCACTGCACCTGGACATACTCTTATTTTGGATAGTCTCACAATCCTATCCAAAGAGGAAATGAAGTTGGTTTGGCAGGAGTTATGTTTCACAATCATCTCTTTCATGTTTTCTTTTTTCAATTCTTTCAACTTCTTCCAAAAGGGGTTTAACAGAGGTTTACAAAACACTAAGGCAAAATAAATTAATAAATAAAACAAATGGAAAATAAAGTCACCAAAGCAAGACAGAAGAGGGACAACATTGGCATTTGCCTGAGTGGTCTCCATTTGCCTCTCCTGATCCTCTTTCCACCATTCCCTGTCTGTTCTAGGCTCCTTTGTTTCCTGGCCTCTCCCTAGCTACAAGTCTCACTGCTTCTCATAACCACTCTCTTCTCTTGCTGCTTCAGGCCTAGGCTGGTGACACTTCCTGTGACCCATCCCTTGCTGGCTCCCTTCATCCTGCTACACCTGTATAGCCAACTCCTTCACTAAATCCTTCTTACTTAACTGATGGTGCCACATTTCCTGTCAGGGACCCTGATTATAACAAGTCACAAACTGTGCACCTTAATCCTATATGTCTATTAGATATGGGCCATAAATATAGCTTTAGGGTCTCGTGTCATTATCAAATGGGAAATGCAATCAATCGAAGAATGCTTAGTCTCTCAAGAGCAGCAGACATACTCCCAACAACAAAATGAGCAAGAAATCTTCACTGTAGTTTCTCAGCAAGAGGACACTGTGGTATAATAACTCCATTCTTTATCTTATGAACCATCTCTAACCCACTCAGAGCTTTGTCCTCAAATTTTTACTTCTGTATTTATTGATATTCACTGTCTGTTTGCATTCAGTTATACAGCTTTAAACAACACACATACACACACGCTGATTTCCAAATGTGTCTCTCCAGTCCTGACTTTTTTCCAGGAATTCATTTTCACTATCCATATGCCTATTATTTGGATATCTAGTAGGCACCTATCTCAAACTCTTTGCATGTCCAAAACTAAACTTTCTATGTTTATTCCATGATCCTCTTCTCCCAGTCTGCCCACATTCAGAGGACCACCACATCATTCACCATGTTGCTCAGGGTGTGTGTGTGTGGGGTGAGGGGCATCATGGCAGAGTGTTAATGGAAGAAATCTGTCAACCTTGATGCATTTTTTCACACGTTCCACATCCAATCCATCCACACAAAATGTTGGCTCAGATCTTCAAAATATATTCAGAATCTGACTAAAGCTCATGACCTCTATCACTACCATTCTAGCCCAAACTACCAGTCTCTCTGTCAACTGTATTTGCTCCTGTTTTTCCTTGTTTTACTCTTGCATCCTTCCAGCCACCCCCATCTCCACCAGCCAGTGTGATCCTTAAAAAATATGTCATATCACAGCATGTGCTCAAAATCTTCCGATTGTGTCCTATCTCACCTAGAATACCATACAAAGGCTTTAACATGGCCTAGAAGGTCTTAAGTGATCTGGCCTTTGGCATCTTTATTTTCTGTCATTCTCTCTCTTCCTTCTTATTTCCCTCCAGTCCAATCATACTGGCCTCCCTGGTGTTCTGTGAACAGGTCTCAGAACATTTGGGCTTGTTTCCTCTGGCTGAATACTCTTGTCCAGATAGGTACATGGCTCATTCACCAGGTCTGTGCGCACATGGCAACCACTCAGGAAGGGTCTTCTCTGCTCACTGGCCCTAGATGGCCACACCATGCCACATCACTCCTTACTTTGCTTTTTCTTCACAGCACTAATCAGTACCTGACATTACATTACATGTGCACTTATATATATTTATTGAGTGCCTATCTTTCCGTTTAGAAAGTTAAGTTCTAAGAAAACAGAGGGCTTTGTTTCATTCACCCCAGCATGTTGTGCCTAGTACAATACTCCAGGCGTGGCAGATCCTTGTAAACAATTGTTACAAATCAGTGGTTCTCAACCTTCCTAATGCCTTGACCCTTATACAGTTCCTCACGTTTATGGTGACCCTCAAAATTATTTAAAATTATTTTCCTTGCTACTTCATAAATGTAATTTTGCTACAGTTATGAATCGTAATATAAGTATCTGATATTGCAGGACGGTCTTAGGCAACTCCTGTGAAAGGGTCCTTCGACACCCAAAGGGGTCGCGACCCACAGGTTGAGAACCTCTGTTTACATGAACAAAAGACTATTAGAGTTTGTCTAGTTTCTTGACTCAGCCACAGCAATACCCAACAAATATGTGAGTCTTAATTTTGAGTGGCACTTGGTTAGATGCCTCGATCTTTAAAAATCTATTGGACAGTCTCTGACCAAAATTGTATCCTTTAGGTTGGCGACTGATTGGAAGTGGGCACAAGAGAGACCTGTTCTTTTGGTCTTTATCAGAGTGGTAGTGACACAGGTGGATACATGTAATTGAACCATACACTTTAGATCTGTGCATTTTAAGCTGCGCCCCAATAAAAGTTTGTCTTGTAAAGTTTCTTTCCTATCTAGACACAAGAACAGTTAACTTCCAGTGCGGCAAGAGCAATGATAGAGGCCTGCACAGGTGGCCTTGTGAACAATGAGATGGTCACCCTCCAAAAGACCTAAGACTGACATAACCCTTGAGAGGCAAAGTGTAGGACATATACTGACGCCGTATTTCCTAGCGACCGCGGGCCTCTGACATGCCCTGGACCATCATCTCAATGCGGAGCTCGTGCTCGGGAGCCCGCACGAGAGCTCACTGGCCAGATGGTGCTGAACTGTTGGGACTGGAACCCTTAAGTGAGCGGGAGGGGCGAGAGCGGCCCTCATAAACAACAATGGGGCAGCCCTTTCTGCTTCAGAGTCTTAACCTTTTGGCCTGAGATGTACGTTGAGTCCACTTGCGGCTAAACAGAGGACCCTTTCCAGCGCACACCGCCAACCCGACGTCACAAACCCGGCTGCTACCGGACCACAACCGCGCGCAGGCGCAGCAGAGACCCGCCTCCACGCACGCGCACAGCGGCCCAGAGCCCGGCTCAGCAGCGAAACCGGTCTGGCGGGCGCGCGCGCGCTTCCGGGAAAGCGGGTGCGAGGTGCGCGCCATGGAACAGAGGTTAGCCGAGTTTCGGGCGGCCAGAAAACGGGCCGGTCTGGAAGCTCAACCCAGCACTTCGAGCCAGAGCGCACGAACCTCAGGGGAGAAGGCGGAAGCAGCTGCGACTCTAACGGTAGCCCCAAGCTGGCTAAAACGGTTCCTGTTTTGGCAACCAAAGCCTGCAAGTGCCCGGGCCCAGGCCAGCCTCACTCAGGTGAGAGAAGAGAGGTCTAGCCACCGGGACCTGGCCTGAGAGCCACCCCTGGAAATTCTGGCTGAGGTCCTACCTTCCCTCGCCGAGCCCCGCGCCACGTGGCTCCGCCCTCGCTCTAGGAGAGGTCACGCCCACCACTGACGTAGCGCAGGTCACGCCCCCTCTGCGTGTTCCGGGCTGGGCCTTGACTGTAGGGGTGGGGCTGCTGGCGCGCTCTTGCTTCTTAGAGGCTGGACCTCCAGTCTCTTGCCACACGTGTCAGCACTGATACGTATCTTTGACATTTTATTTACAGCCCGCAACCCATAAAGCTCTTGATTCCTGGCGGGAAGCAAAGGTCTAGGATCCTGGAAGAAAGCACCTCTGCCCTTGAATTTATTCACAGCAAGATGTTACCATTGTGATCCCCTTTGGCTTTGGGAAATCTGTCCACAACAAAGCTGAGCCATAGCCCTCTGCTAATGGAGGGTAAGAGGTCTAATTGGATACTGACCGAAAGTGGCAGTAATTAAGGCTTTATTTGATTCGCACCTGGGGCGCATGCAGCAGCCGCCAGTAGTCCAAATAGCTTGCGCTTTGGGTTTGAATACAAAATTTACAAAAGTGTGGTAGCTGTAACTGCCAGTGCTGGCAGGAGCTTATTCAATTTCAGTAGTGAATGTTCTAGGCCAACAACAAAAAAAATATTGGATTAGCGTGATAGTCTTTTCACCTTTAGTTATTTTGGTAATCTCTTAATTTGAAGGCAAATTTAATTCATCTTTTTGTGTCTTCATTCAGTTTTTTGTTTTGTTTTGTTTTGTTTTTTGCAGTTTTTGTCTGGGGCTGGGTTTGAACCCACCACCTCCGGCATATGGGGCCAGAGCCCCACTCCTTTGAGCCACAGGCACCACCCCATTCAGTTTTCACGTATGAGTAAGATGGCAAGGTGACTTGCATGTGACATTGGATTGTCTATGTGGAAATACAGGACAGAGCATACCAAGGGATAATTGGTGCTTTGTGACATCTGTGACAAGGCCTTTGTTTCTCCTATATGTAATAGCCAAAAAGTTCCTTTAAAAAATTAAAATGTAGGCTCAGCGCCTGTGACTCAAGTGGCTAAGGCACCAGCCACATACACCTAAGCTAGCAGGTTCAAATCCAGCCCAGGGCCACCAAACAAAAATGATGGCTGCAACCAAAAAATAGCCAGGTGTTATGGCGGGCACCTGTGGTTCCAGCTACTTGGGAGGCTGAGGCAAGAGAATTGCTTGAGCCAGGAGTTGGAGGTTGCTGTGAGCTGTGATGCCACGGCACACTACCCAGGGTCACAGCTTGAGGCTCTGTCTCAAAACAAACAACAACAACAAAATTTTTTAAATAGACAAGCGGAGAAGTGTTCCTTGCTTACCTTAAAATTTATTTTCCTTAAACTCATCTATTATTGCACATTTGGTCTGAGGGAATTGTTCTAACTGGGGAGAACTAAATGTTTACTTTAATTCCATATTCTCCATAACATGCAGGATTCCACCTGACTTTTAGGAAGAGATAAAGAGAGTGCAGCAAGGTTCAAGCAACCTGTTTCATTGCATGTAGTTTTCTCTGAATTGTCTTTGGATAATTTTATTGTTGACTAGAACTTTCCGAGCACAATTGCTTAAGATTTAAAATCCATTTCCTTAACCCTTTTCCCCCCTGCAGTTAAAAAATAATACCTAACCCACACAGTGAGCTTTTGAATATCTCATTTCCAAAGGAATATGAGATCACTGAGTTGGGCCCAGAGAAACTGAACTCGGGAAAAGGTTTCATTATCGAAAACTCAAAAGCTGATGGGTCTGTCAAAAGGATGAGAAGAAATGCAGTAGGTTCTTCTTAATTGCTCTGTTTTCCCCAGGCGACTCTGCCTTAAGCTCATTTTCACTGATGGTTATCATTCCTGGGTTTGCTCTGGTGTGAAATTCTCATTAAATTTTTTTTCTAATTTACTATCCATCTCTACCTAATAATTTTGATGGCACTCTGTGGCCTGTCAGAGATTTCTTTTTTCTTTCTTTTTTTTTTTTTTTTTTAGAAAGACGGAGTCTCATTTTGTCACCCTGGGTAGAGTGTTGTGGTGTCACAGCTTACAGCAACCTCTAGCTCTTGGGCTTAAGTGATTCTCTTGCCTCAGCCTCCCAAGTTATTGGGACTATAGGTACCCAGCACAATGCCCAGCTATTTTTGTTGTTGTTGCAGTTTGGCTGGGGCCGGGTTCGAACCCTCCACCCACAGTATATGGGGCTGGCACCCTACTCACTGAGCCACAGGCACTGCCCTGTCAGAGATTTCTTTAGCCTTCTATTTGTAATTGCTTCTTTTCAGTAGTCATCGATAAGGGAGTATCCACATCCTCCCCTTCCCCCAGTTTTCTGGTCCCCCAAAACAAAATACTTAATTCTGTGCTGAGCTTGTCCCTCACTAGGACAAAACTGCTGGCAACCTCTTTTAATCCTACAGAAGCCACCTATTCCCCTCTCTAGCCATAACCCATGCAAGCGCTCAGTGTACCACCCAGCCCCAGGGGCCATTCTCCAGAGCTTCTTCCCTCCAAGTCTTGGATCAAGCTGGCCTGCTGCTTAAATGCTCTCCTACTTTGGAATCACCTGGTTAGGCACAGCCTTGCGTCACCCTCAAAATCTAGGAGTCATCCTTAATTTCTCCCTTCTCCTCATCGTCATTCCTTCATTCAACAGAATTCTGTCATGTGGCCACTCTCTTCCAGTTTCTGTCCTAAATCCCAAGAGACTGTGACCAAGACAAAGCACCCCCTGCTCTTACAGAACTTTCATTTGAGCTTGGAGCAGCAGGGGAAGGAGGACGATACACAGAACACCAAGATGATAAATGCTAAGGAAGGAAAAATAAAACCGGAGGACTGTGATAGGGAATTGAGGGCGACAGAGCAGAGTGCTGTATTGAGTTGGGTGAGCAGGGAGAGCCTCACTAAGGAGGTGACATGTCACATGCGGTCACATTTTTTGCTGACATTTCTAGAAGAGAGAGACAGCTCAGTTATATGAGGGGAACAGGGGTTCCCTCTCAGGGAACCACAAGTGCAAAGGCCCTAAGTTGGGAAGGAGCTTGAAATTTGTGGATTAGAAATGCCTTCCCAGCTATGCCTAATGTGATGAAATGACCACAGACACTTTTACATACAGCTTTTAGAGCAGAAGGTGAACTGTACTAGAGCAAATTCCAAATGAGGCGGAAGAGTTTCCATCTCTGTCTTCCTTACAGGCTCCCTTTGCTGATTTCCTTTGTTGGTTTGAGTACTTCTGCCCCCCACCCACCCACCCCCTTCCCGTCTGATCTGGCACCCTATCCCTTCCCCTGCCACCTCCCATAAAGGCCCCTGATTAATAATAAGGGCTTTGGAGGGAGACCATGCTAGGAACCTACACTGACCTCGTCTCTGCCCATCACTAGCTGTGTGACTTCATAGAAAGTACTTCTCAGTCAGTGTTTCCTTATCAGCAAGTCGGGAATAATAATGCCTGCCTCCTAGCTTACACAAAGTGTGTATCACACACTTTGAATACATTGAGTAAATGGTGGCTGTGAGCATTATTCTTTTTCTACTCCCTGAATAATGAATTCAGTTTATTGGGAATTTCAGTTTGTATCCATTCTAAATGTATCCTGTATCCATAAATCCACCATTTCTTTCTGACTTCTGTCATTACCCTAGTCAATGCCTGTCCCCCTCTTGCTGGGCCTCCTGTGTCAGCGACTAACAGTTTTCCCGTTTCTACCCATGCTCCCTGCAGTGTATTCTTTATGTGGCAGCCAGAGAAGTCTTAAGTGTACATTGGATTGTGTTATTTCCTTGCTAAGACCATTTCTAGAACCTTTACTGCAACCTGCCTGGCCCAGCGTGGTCTGACTCCTGCCCTCCCCACTACCCCCATCATCTCACTATTCTCCCCCTTGCCTAGGACTGCAGTCACACTGCCCAGTTCCCAGACGAGCCGAGCTTTTCCTACCCCAATGCGTTCCTCTTCTTGGGTAAGAAGTATCGTGTGCCCTGGCCAAATCTGAAAGGGATGTTTCTTTAAGAAATGTCTAGAGAGGAGGTTGTGGCTTGTGATATAAGGGTTTCTCCAGTCAGACATTCTCATCTAACTGAAAAGATAATAATTGTAATGTTGATCCTAAAAAAGGTTCTGATGAAAATGGAATTTCTGAAGCATCATAAATGAGATGACCAATATTTTTTATCAAGACTGATATTTATCGTCCTCTTTTAAATTTTCACGTGGAGAAGAATGTCGGATATGACTGAAGAAATGAACTACAAGTTCTGCCACATATTGCTAATCTGTGTGTGGGGTGTTGTGTTTGGCTCTGGAAACACCGAAAGGTGAAATAGCTGTCCACGTCCTCAGGACACTGTAAACAAGCAAGCGACACAGGCAATTATATTAAAAGAGAGACTCTCAGTGCTGACTGGCTTGGTGCTCAATAGCAAGAGAGCTAGCCTGTGCTGGGGGAAGCCAGAGGGATCACCCTCTTTGATGGCCAAGGAGGTCCGGGCAGACTCAGTCCACGAATATTGCCCACCTGGAAAGAGGGGCAATATTGAGGAATGGGGAGGAAGTGGAGGCAATTCTAGGCCTCAGGTGAGGACCCAGAATGTCTTTGGGTAATAAGACCAATCAAAATGAAGTAGAAGGATCATTTGTGGATCAACAGATTGCGGATTGGATTGTGCAGGGAACCATTATGACCCTTTATTACAGTGGTTCTCAACCTTCCTAATGCCTCCTAAGGCTGCGACACTTTAATACAGTTCCTCATGTTGTGGTGACCCCCAGCCATAAAATTATTTTCGTTGCTACTTCATACCTGGAATTTTGCTGCTGTTATGAATTTTAATGTAAATATCTGATATGCAGGATGTATTTTCATTGTTACTAAGGAGTTGCGACTCACAGGTTGAGAACCACTGCTTTATTGGATGGTGAAATCAATATAGAGGATTTTATGCCATTAAATTTTTTTAAAAAATAGAATAGGAAATATGAAAGAGATTCTCAAGGAGGATAAGTGTTGAATCACGAAAGTTTCTATTGTATGTGTGTATCCATACAGTCAGTATAAAATATGTTTCTTGTGGTTCATGCTCAAAAAAGTTTGGAAAATAGAGGACTGGAGACACAGCTTCCTGGAGCTCCCTAAACAACTGTGCCTGCCGTCGGCATCCAGCACAGGAGCCTGTGTACTGGTCTTGCTGCCTGTGGGATAAATGCAGGGTCTTGGAAATTTGTTGGATATTTGTGAGCAAAAAAACTGATGGGTGTTGTAGAAAATAAATTTCCCAGTTGTACATAGGATGCTTTCGGGAGGGAAGAGATAGGAGGTGGTGAGTCTAGTTAAGAGACCCTGGGTGGGCCTTGGGCTGAGTGATGGGGACCTGTGTAGGTAGGTCACAGGATGGGAAGGTAAGAGGGCCCGGTAATAGCTTTTAACAGTGGCCTTTTTTAAAAAATTCATTAAGAGGCCTTTTTGTTTCCTGTTTCTGGTCTAGCCTCCATTGTAGACTCGTGTCTTTCATAATATTTTAGCTCATCTAATCAAGTTGACAAACATGTTGACTCTGTGTGGGAAGCATCTGTTGTGGCTGTTGCATTATCAGTTATGTGGGGTTTCTGTATGGGGCACAAATTAGCTCTTGTCAGCAGCAGACTAATATGAAGAAATGACTCCCATGAATAGGAATCTGTCTAAATGCTGTGCGACTTTTATTGGGTCACATCTCAGTAAGTGCTGATCAGTTTTGATTCCGTTGAAGCAGGGCACATAAGCTCTTTCCAGATGACTGTTGAGAGAGTAAGGCAACAAAATAGAAATCAATGAGCCGGCAGCTTTCTTAGAGCCATGAGAGCTTCCTTTTTAGATTAGTTTTGATCTCTCAGCTCCATTACGCTCTATTCTTACTTTTGTTTGCTTATGTATCCTAGGAAGCAGCTCAGCCTGGGAGCAGCACAGCACAGCCACCCCGGAATATAGCCGTTCCGCCACCACCGTGCCAGGACCGGTCCTTCTTGACCAACATCACCTTCCTGAAGGTTCTTCTCTGGTTGGTCCTACTGGGCCTATTTGTGGAACTGGAATTCGGCCTGGTTTATTTTGTCCTCTCCTTGTTCTACTGGATGTATGTTGGGACACGAGGCCCTGCAGAGAAGAAGGAAGGAGAGAAAAGCGCCTACTCGGTGTTCAACCCCGGCTGTGAAGCCATCCAGGGCACCCTGACTGCAGAGCAGCTGGAGCGCGAGTTACAGTATAGACCCCTGGTGGGGACATAGGACCACTGTACGTCTTGCCGCTAGCTCCACTGTCCTGCAGCTGACCTCAGGCACCGTCCTCCTAGCCCTTGGGTGTAGGTTTGATTTCAGATGCACAGGACAGAGGGCAGCTTGTAGATTAGCCCTGTGACTGCACAGCTCTTCTACATTCTTTTCCTGATCTGCTGCTGCACATTTATCTTTGAACTTCTCTTTTGTTTTTGATGAAATTCTCTAAGAGACACTCACTGTGGGTCTGATGCAATTAATATAAATTACATACTCAAGAAAGGAGAGGTGCTTGTCTCATTTCTCATCTGTTTGAAAGAGATGATTTGGGAGCGCTAGAAAGGCATTGGGGAAAGTCTGTGTTAAAAACATCCAGCTGTTTGAAGTAAAAGTTAGGTGCATCAGGGGCGTATATAGAAGTAAATGTTCTTTTTAAGTCTTGTAATATTTAAAACATTTTTTTCCTGAAAATCTTACGTCATAAGTTTTGAGGGGTTTTGTTTTGCTTCCTGCTTTAATTCTTGCTTTTTCTATCAGTATTGAAAATAAAATATCTCTAAAACTTCTTTTCAGAAGCAGGTTCCCATTCACTGCCCTCACCATCTCCCACTCTCCTGTTGTTCTGCCCCCACTCAGGGAAGATAGGAAGAGACAAAGTCTTAGTGACAGGTGTGGAGAGAGCTGTCACGATGCCCGTGTTGGAGATCCGATTAGTGGTTCTTAACTATCAATTTGGCAAGAAGAATTCTTGAATGTGCACAAAGGAAGGGCTGGAAGTAGAACCCCAGACTTCCTGGCTTCTTGGCTTTACCTTCTAAGGGCTTTAGAGTGAGCAGTCCCTTCACCTGTGGGTGGCTCACTACGCAAATCCCGATGGTCAGGCAAGACTGCAGTGTTCCTTCCTCTCTCAGTACAATGTTAAAGTTTGGGTTCATTAAAGTTGGACAAACCCCCACTGGATTGGGGTGTTCTCATTACTTCCATGTTGTGGCTGACTAATCCCATTATGTCTGTGGTTTTTTTTTTAATTAAATCACAGCTGTAGAAAGGTAGACCCTTCTCCTAAGAATGCAGGAGACCCCAATTTGAAATATTTTCATCAAACTGGTTAACATAGCCTTCACCACATTTTCTTCATTACTGTGTTAAGACATTGATATTCTACCCCTAGTAAATTTCACATGTACCCTTGTAAGGTGCACTGTAGGTGTGGCCCCACCAATTATCCCATTGTGTTTTGGGTTGTTGTTGAGAATTCTTCTGGTATGAATTTCTTTTCAGCTCTTTGCCCATTAGGAGTTTGGCTGTCCCCTCTAGCTTACAAAGGAGCTTTCCGTGACTTGTCTGAACTGCACGTGTAGGAAGTATGGGAAACAGATGAATCCCTATTAAACATGAAAGTTTTGATTGTTTTTAAGGTATGATTTTATTTTCTTAAGGATTTCTTAATTTCCCTGATAAGGGAGTAATTGCCCTAACAAAAGTTTCACTGCAGTGCCCAAGGCACTAAGCATTGTTATAGGAAAGAATTAATTTGTATTTTAAAAATGTGTAATTCACTTTCTCCTAAAACAAAAGGCCTGTGCCTCTGAATTAGGGGAATTTGATCCAATTAATAATCCCAGAAAGGTAGACCCTTCTCCTAAGCATACAAGAGACGCAACTTATGAGTGGTCCTCAGGAGTGATCTTTGAAAACGTAGCTGACACGGAGCCTAGATTGTCCTAAGCCGGTCTTTCACGAGATTCTCCAGGAATGATTTGTCACCTTCCTTACCTCTCCCCAAAGGTTGCACGTAGTAATGGCATTAACTTCTAGGAAAAGTTGGGTGCGAATCAGTGAAATCCCTGGCAGGGAGGAAAAGAAAGGACGGTATGTATTTGCTGCTTTTATCGGACCATTAAGCTTTAGGTGCAGTCTTGATTTCCTGAACTGTAGCCCATTGATCTCAGAATTTCCACTAGGGCCTGACCATTAACCCAGCATGCAGCTTCCATTAAAAGCTTCTTCTGTCATCAGGGAGCTTGAAATCCCGAAGGTGGATGGAGTCCCCGTGAGAGCTGTGTACATGAGCAAGGTCATTTCTGTCCCAGTCTTACAAGTAAATTGTTTTTTGCCTTTATTCACATTATCTCATCTTGTCTGTTCATAGGATCTGTTAAATGAGCCTTATTTGTAGAGCTAGCAGGGACCCCAAAATGCCATTGTGTGCCCCTCCTACCTTGGGTGTGGCTGCATTTATTTCTGTCTAAAGAGGATTTGTCTCTTCTTCCCCCTGAAGGAGAAGATTCCAGGCAGGCACTTCTTAGGAAGTTCTTTGTGTTTACTGAAAAAACTTTGCCAACCCCCTACTGCCACCTGAAGTTATTTCTTCTAATATCAGTGGGTATGGAGCATGGAGCCCTGTGTGAGGGAGTAAACCCTTACTCAGTTCTCTTCTGTCCCTCTCTGCTCTGCAGGCTGAGTCATCTGTGTTGGACCTCTGGGACACAATCACTTTCAAGCTACCCTGAGCCATTCTGACCCCTGGGACACAATCACTTTCAAGCTACCGTGAGCCATTCTGACCCCTGGGACACAATCACTTTCAAGCTACCCTGAGCCATTCTGACCCCTGGGACACAATCACTTTCAAGCCACCCTGAGCCATTCTGACC